TGATCTGATGGCTTCGACCCTCATGTTGCCATGGCTTCCTACCATTATCAAGGAATTGTGTGAAAAGGATGTAAGTGACTTCTCACAAGTTTTACCCAGATTCCTGCTCTCACTTTTTTACCACGCGAATTCATTCCTTTCTTAGGTGACTTTGGTTGCCATTAGGCGGTTCGTTCATACCAAGATCTTAGGTGTTCATGAGGGAGCAGAGCTATCAACCCGTGATGCCTCATTTATTGGCAGTAAGTTGTTGTGAAGCGGATCATGTGTATTATTTTGCTGCTTACAGGAGAAAGGACCTAGTTTGCTTCCTCTATTTGTAGGTATTTCAAGTTCACTCATGTCGCTAGCTCAATACGTCTCCTCTTCCACTTCGGGTACCATGTCTGATTCTCTCGGTCGTAAACCCGTCCTCCTCACGCTTCACGTAGGTCTTCGTTTCCTATACTGTTCCTTATGCAACCACAACCTATTTCTCTCCCATATAAAATGCAGACTCTAGGTATCATTTCGTACTTGCTGTGGTCAGCTTCTGGTGCCTCTTTCATTTGGTTCGTGTTGGCTCGCATTTTGAGTGGCCTATCACGTGCCAACGTCGGCGTGCTCTCGGCTATGGTCTCAGACGTCTCGGATCGGGAGACGCGAACCCGCGGTATGGCTGCTGTTGGTGTCGCATATTCCATTGCCTACTTGGTTGGTCCTCCAGCCAGTGCTTGGCTTCTGGGTCACCTTTTTTTCAACTCTGAGGTCGGTGTCAGCGTCCTTGATCCTCACATCGGTTTGGCTGCCGCCTCACTTGCTGTTCTTGACTATATCTTCCTACTTTCATTCCCAGAGACTGCATCTGTGCAGGATAAGAACCACGATGGCGCTGAGGCTAAAAAGGAGGTAAACTTAAGGGCGCCAATTTATTTCACTCTTAGATCAAAATAGGTATTTTAAACCGAAGATATATTGCTCTTTACTGGAACACAGGACATTGATGGTAGCTGTTCAGATCCAAAGTACAACTTTGGGGTGGCCATTTGTAATTCTTTCGCAAGCCCTTATTTTTAATGGTTCAGTTCCAGAACTTAGAAATGGGACTGCTACTTTATCATTGATGGGACCGTTGGCTATCAGTCGCCTCATCCGCTGTTCAAATAATTTTAGCGTGCCTCAAGGCGATCATTTTGGCAGTCACTTAGACTGCTTAATCCCTTGGAACTCTTTCGTTTCCGCAACATTGAGGATAAAATTTGTACGTACAGATATATTGTTATCGTTGCATAACGTTTAGCTGTATTTCATTATTGCTCATATTTATATAAATGGCTATAGTTCGATCATCTAACACTGACCAGCGCAATATTTACTTCGAAAGAATGCAATAACCATCAAACGCTCAAGTATTTTCTTCACTTACCATTTGGCACTTACATTTCCAGAGCTCAGGTCGAATGTTTGTCATTATAGTCTACGAAAGGTGTGCTGCATTCGGAGTTGTGATCCCCCAAAATGAATAGCCATAATTGTTAAAATTTGGTTATTTTCCATTTATTTTGTTGGCTTAAGCTCAACCATACCTTTACGACGCGTAATTTGTGCTGTTGGTTACCTCCTCTTGATGAATCGTAAACAGACAAAGGTTCCTTCCATTGGGGTGCCTGGAGTGTTTAGTCACTCGTTTGGTGCTCATACAGAAATGGCTAGAGATTGGTAAATCACAAAGAAGACTTTGCTTTTTAAAATGGAGGTTATTCATTTCTCACGCTTCGCGATTAAGTCCTAATGGTAATTGTTGTTTATTTTATTCTTTTTCCCTTCAGTGCAAGCGAAATTGCAGCAAATGGCACAAGTGTTCTTCTTTAACATGCTTCTCTTCTCCGGTCTTGAGTGCTCTCTTCTATTCCTTGCTCAACTTCGATTCGGTTATACCGGGTGAATTTCAGCTTGACCTAGTCCAAGTTCGTCCAGCTGACAAAATTCTAGTTTCACACCATGACACCGTTATATCACGGCTGCTCTCGCTAAAATCAAGTATAAACACAATGATGCTGATAATATCACGTTCGGAAATCACACGCATAATAGGACAACAATAAGAAGTGCTAATGTAAAGTCACAAAATGAGAAAATTACCATATAAATATTCAAAAACATTTTTAGTGTTGGGAGATGTAATATTTTGATTCGTATTTTAGCCGAGATCAGGGACGAATCTTCTTAACCACTGGAATAACTATGATTATCATCCAAAGTGAGTATTTAGTGCCCTAC